TTTTGTTCAAAAAATTGAAGTAGGTGATAGTGTTGTTTTGTAAGTTATATTTATTTTGACAATTAGGCACCATTATTATTATTTTAAAAAAAAAATTTTAACTTGGCTTTGAGTATCATGAATTTGACCAAAAATTTGTATTTTAAAACATTCCAATGATTTTAATACAACCCCTAATTTTGGGAACAAGTTATAAGCATCAAATTTAGGATTAACATTTATTTAGCTCTTTAATTTATATATTTTAAGATTATTGGTCCCTCACTTAATAATAAGAGATTATTAGTTTATCGAGAACAAAATTAAGAGAAATTAACTCCCATACTAACAGATTTGAGGCATGTTTCTCACTTAAACATTATTTAAATGTCACATCTTTCTCGCTTAGCAACAGTACATGAGCGTTCTCTCTCTTATATGGTGTGCCATAATAACAATAACAAAGTGGGGTTAGGTGAGAATATTTTGCTCATTTTCGATCGCATGCCAAGTAGGAGAGAGAATGTTAACGTTTCGCAAACTAGGATGGGCTTGACGTTTGAGTAACAACCAAGTTAAAAGCATGCCTCAAATCCATCAATATGAGGGTGAATTACTCCTAAATTGTGTTGCTGAAGGGCAAAACCATGAGACGAGTGAAATAGCTTAAGGACGCACCATCCACAAGAAAAAAAAAAAAAGACCAGTTAAATATAGCGATATGGAGCAGGTACTCAGTACCGGGACCTCTTATTTTGGTATTGCTTGCACAGAAAAGGAAAAATTAATCACTAGATTTATCTTTCATAAGAGGTTTGCAGTCACACATCGTCATTGTCATGTCCTCCTACATTGTTTCCAAACATTATATATACGCTAAACCTATAGAACCCATGAATCAAACCCCTTAATACAAAAGGCAAAGCAGCGGCAAGCAACACATACCAGAACTGGATGGATTCAAACGGAGTAACGGCAAAGATCGCTGCCCCATACGTTACCAGCATGGAAATGGTGGCCATCATTATTTCGAATTGAAAAGGGAACCTGTAGGTGAGAGAGATGATGACCAAAATTGATGCCGAAAGAGCAACTGTATTAGAGATCAAGAAAACATAGTAGGCTTGTATTTGAGATGCATAGATGGCCCTGCCTGGGACATGCCCGTTGCTGTCATCCTGCCATACCCCACCGGGAGGATTGACCCCTGACTGGAAAGCCACGGCCGCAATCAGGGTGGCTACGACCAAAAGGACATTCCGGGCATCGGTTGTTGAGTCTCGGCCTTCTTCATACTGGAAGTACTTGAACCAGCTCCTGCTTTTGTGCGCCCGACGAGTTTCCTTGCCATTCGAATTCAACGACCCGATTAAAGGTGTCCTAGTTTCTCTCATTCTGTGAGCTTGAGTAGAAGCCGTTTTGGAATAGTCTATTTGTAATGTAATTGATTTAAGGTAATATGTGTCTTTATTAATTTGTTTTTTATTAACCCCACATTTAAAAATTACATTAAATTTTGTTTAATATAACATCGAGTTACGATTGGATTCTATAAAAAAAAAAAAAAAAAGACTTTTTTGTGTGCTTGTATTTTCATTTATAAAATTTAAGAGTAATGATTTGCAGGACAAATTTGAGGGGTGAAATGGGAACGACAAGAGAAGCTGGTCAAGATACAAAATTATCAATTTAACCTATTTTACTTGTCACCCTTCAATTTTGTCTCTCAATTTCATCCCGCAAATCATTACTCAAAATTTAAATTCGAAATTTTTCTTAAAAAGAACTGAAATCATTTTATTTGAATTAATAAATTGTTGATAATATATGTCTTTATACACATATTAAATACATATTTATTATATTTTTTTATCATTAATTTATATGCTATTAATTTATATAGAAAATTATGAAAATAATTTTTTTAACACTAATGTCATGTAGAACAATTTAATTTGACGTTTAATAAATCTTAAGTGAATTTTTATTTTTTATATAAATTAATAATAAAAAGATATAATAAATGTATTTTTTTGTTAAATACTATAATAGATAAAAAAATTCTTTAATTTATTTAATTTTTATATCAATAATTGTGAACAGATTTTTTTCATAAAAAAAGATTTAAAAGTGTAATAAATATATTTTTCATCCTAAATTTGTATTAAAAAAATAAGAGTTAATTTCAATTTATTAAATTTATCTACATGATAGTAACAATACTAAAATTCATATCAATTCTTAAATATCTCTATATAAATTTATAATAAAAAATACTTTTAATATATATTAAAAATACAAATTAAAAAATTCATAAAAAATATGAATAGATTTTCGCACAGAGAAATCTTTTAAGAAGTCTTTTAAGAAGAGGGATGATCCTCCTTCAATAAAAATTATAAAATTTACCATATATACAAGATGCACTGCAAAACTGCTATTTCTTTTTCCGGTTACTAAAATATGGGAAGTACATACTACATAATTGTGCACATCAGTGATTAGATTTTTGATAACTAAATAAGGTAGTCCTTTAACTTTTACATTAAAAAGAGGATATGGTAGATCATCTTTCCAAAAAAAAAAAAAAAAGGGAAAATGATTCAAGAATAATTTTTTATATTATTTTTTGGTATAATTTTACATGTTAATTAAATGATTAATTTTTGTATTCATTTAAAACTTATAATATTAAGTGTATTTATTCATTTAATAACATATAAAAATTGTATAAAAAAATTCTATAAAAAAATTATTCTTATATCATTGCCTTACAAAACACATATGATATAGATTTGAAAGGGATGGATGTCAAATTGTTAATACAATTAGGGGTGAGTATTTTTTTGGTACAAGTCATGTATAATTTATATTTGGTACTTAAAAAATTTTTAGTATAGTTTTTTATACTTACTACTTATCCAAATACTCAAAAACTTATACTTAATATTTAACCTAGCAAATGCCAAATAATTTCCAAGTATATACTTTTGTACTTAGTTTAGGGAAAAAAGAGACTTTGTATGAGTTGCTATGTATGTTATGTGTTTGATTTAGGATTTATTATTTATATGAGTTGCTATTGTTGTGTGTGTAATTTCTTTAATTTATGGGCCTTATTTTACATTTATTTTTATTTTTGTATATTTTACATTGCCATTATTTTTATTTTTAAAAATTGTTGTTATTATACAGATATTAAGTATACTAAATATATGTAAAATTTTAATTATACAAACACAAGTAATAAGTTAGTTAAATAAGTTAGTTAAGTAAGTCAAATAAACAATTTTGAACCCTTATATTTATTAATTGATTTGATACTTACAAATATTTTATTTTTATATCTATTATTTACTTAATTTTTTTAAAATTCAAATATAATATTTATGCAAACAAAGAAAATACTTTCGAATAATAAATGTACCCAAACCCTCCCCCTAAATGCAACCTATCTTCAACCATGGTGACTAAATTGGGCTCGAACTAATGTTTGTACTTTGGATCAACTGTCAACCCACATATAGCCCATCCATAGATATGGGTTGGGACTTGGGAGAGTTTTAAGGTTAAGAGGTAATTGTGGGCCAAATTTCGGACACAGTAAAAACAAAGTCATCTTTCAAGTCAACGCCGGTGAACGGCTTGTCATTCTCACCGTCCGACCAGGAATCAACGGTGTGGTCAATCCGTAAATTGAGAATCGACAGGCGAAATTTCCGATTGCATTATTAACTCATTAGTTAAGACATCATTCTAATCCATCTACTTTAATAAAAAAAAATCTTTTTAGTTTTTTTACTTAAATTTTTTTCAGTTTTTTAAATTTTTTTTTATACACATAATATATTAAATAATAAAAATTCTAAAATTTTTGTTATTTAATATGAGATATTTTAACTTCTATCTTAGTGTACAAGTTAAAATTATAATTATTATATATTTTTTTAATAATTATTATTAAAAATAAAAATTAATTTTTATTTAAATAATGATATTAATGTTTATCTACCTTACCTCCTAAAAATTAAGAGAAAAATTATTTCAAAATTACGTAATTTTAATAAAATACTATAGAGAAAAACAAAAAACACTCTAATTTATGTTTTAAAAATATGATATTTTAATTTTTTTCAATAGAGGTTTATTGAACGACGTAATTTTGAAATAATTTTTCTCTTAATTTTTAAGAGATAAGTGAATAAACATTAATTCTTAATTAATTATCTAATTAAAATAATTTATGTGATATTAATGATGAAATCAATAACAATTTTTATATTTTTTAATAATAATTAATATAAAAAATATAATAATAATATTCTTAACATGTACCCTTAAGAAATATAGGTTAGATAAACCCTTTAATATATCACATGTGTAAAAAATAAAAAAATAAAAACTGAAAAAAGTTGGATAATGAATGTGAGGGATTGAAAAGAAAGTTAACAAGTAAAGAGGCTAAAATAAAGACTTGTATTAAAGTAAAGAACCAAAAATAAAGTTTTAACCTAACTCTTTCTCCTTGTCACGTGACTTTTGTCCTCCCCTAATCATGACAGCATCTATCCGCGTTGAAATAGTAAATAAATAATCGGTGCTGGTAGACTATCTCCGACATTCAATTCCATCACAAACAAGGGCCCACGTCAATCGACACCGTAAAGTTTCAAATACCCATTAAGTAGAATCAATGCCCACGTGTGCCGTTGGATTAGGAGGTTCATCAACATTGATGAGCCTTACCAGTAAACATTAATATGATTTCTAGTGTCATAATTTTTTTTTTTTTTAATTTACGATGAGATATCTTTAGGTTTTGCACCAATTATTTTGAATAATGATGACGAGACAAAAACTTTGAAACTAATAACATAATATAATAGGTAAGAAAAAATGTATATCAATTTT